TTGAAATTAAACTACTATCATACTCCTGCGAAACCGCTTCTTATTTAATTATTAACATCCTCAGTAGTTGATCTAATTGCAATATTGGACGTAAATGACCCTCGTGGCCAAAGAGCCCAAAACATTTATTAATAAAAGAATCCAACATCCCCCTAAAATTTCATGAATAGTTTCATTTCATCGTAACCTGAAACGAAAATGCCCGTATTTTTGGCGTTTTTAATTTATAGATTATATACATGACTACAATAAGACCTATTTGGACTTACGGAGTTGAGCTTTGGGGCTCCACTAAGCCATCGAATTCCTCTCGTATCCAATCCTTACAATCCAAAATCCTTCGGAAAATCCTCAATGCTCCTTACTTTGTCACCAATAAAATAATTCATAATGACCTTAATGTTCCTTCGGTTTCCGATTTCGCTCAATCCTGATACCAATCCTTCCATAATAAACTTCAGAACCATCCCATTCCTCTCGTCTCTAACCTTGCTTCCTCTTCTATTGCTTATAACCCTCCGAGGCGTCTGAAAAGAAGATGGCCTCGAGATCTCATATTGTAAATACATTTTGTTTTTAGAGTGCTACCAGTGGGGAGTTTCTCAACGTGTGATTTCATGTTATTATTTTCTGTTATCAAATTTACTTACTGTATTTTATTTATTAATACAATTGTAAATATCATGAATAAATAAAAAATATATAGATATGTAAATTTTGTCTATTTAATGTTTTAATTAAAACTCATGAAGACCCTTTTGCCTACCACTTGAAGAGAGAAATAATTCGATCACAAGAAAAACGGTGGCCCGTTTATACATATACTAAATTTATATTAATACTAAATTATCGACCGATTAGTTTACTTCCAGTATGTTCTATGTTCTATTCGAAAAACTATTGTACCCACGACTATTACATATACTAACAGACAGACAGATTATTCCTGACCATCAATTCGGGTTTCGAAAATTACATTCAACAACACAACAATTACACAGGGTAACTGACTACATATCGACAGCACTAGAGCGAAAACTATATGCAACCGGAGTATTTCTGGATGTCGCCCAAGCGTTTGACAAAGTATGGCATCAGGGGCTTCTCTTCAAGCTTAAGACCATACTTCCACATACTTACTACTTAATTCTCCATTCTTTTCTCTCAGATAGATTTTTCTCCGTTCGACATGGTCAAGGTCTATCCTCAATTCGATCAGTTTTAGCTGGCGTACCTCAGGGATCAATCCTAGCCCCACTAATGTACATCATATACACACACGACATTCCTCAAAGTATCCACACTCTTACAGCAACCTACGCAGACGACACTGCTATCATTACCAGGCACGACAATCCTACAGAAGCATCACTTAACTTACAACATCACTTACAGATTATACTCGATTGGTGTAAACTTTGGAAAACTCAAATAAATTATCAAAAGTCACAGCACATCACATTTACTCTAAGACCAAAAAGATGCCCTCCTGTATACTTAGAGAATGTACCGATTCCACAAACAGACAGAGTACAATAATTAGGCCTTACGTTCGATAGGAGAATGACATGGGGTCCACATGTGAAGAAAAAACGAATCACATTAAATCTAAGTCTAAAATTGTTACATTCACTGTTAAGACGACATTCCAAATTAAAAGCAAGACAGAAACTAAGTATTTACACATATCTTTTAAAACCTCTTTGGACTTACGGACTACAAATATACGGAATTGCAAAATCAACTCACATAAAAAAACTTAAAACTTTTCAGTCGAAGATACTACGAATAATCACTCAAGCACCATGGTACGTAAACAATCACACTTTACACACTGACTTACACGTTCCGACAGTCAACGAACACATACGAACGTACTACAAACGATTTCATAACATGTTAAACGGGCACTCCAACCAGCTCGTAAAAGAAATGGCCACAACTTGTATGCCCGAGAACTCCAGAAGACGACTGAAAAGGGTCTGGATGAGGGATCTGCTGAAATAATGTTTTAATAAATAAAAGCTATGGAAGGGATACCGCTGTGTATTGCTATTCCTCATGCCTATCAAGCCTTTTTATTTATTTTTTATTATTATTATTTTTTTTCCCTCTCATTACTACACCAGCGTATCTGCTGATTGTCAATCATAATTGACAGGTGCGGGTAGATATATGTAAGTCCAAAAAAAAAATACTAAATAACAAAAAATATTTTTTCTATTATAAATTAAAAAATTTGGTGCGCCCAACACAAAACTTGCACTTACCGCTCTACTTTGAATAGAAATTATTTTTTGGCAATGTTGAACTATTATAAACTTTTTAAGTGCATTTTAAACGGAGCTAAAGCTTAAAGCTTACAGATAACATATCATTAAAATTACAAAAAGTCTATTTATTATATGGGCAGTAGGCAATAAAAATCTACTTAATCCATCTGATTTTATAAACTTAACTTCAGTTTCTGAGGCGTATTTGGACTTATGTGTATGAGTTTTGGGATCCACTCAACCATGAAATTTCTCTTGCATACAGTCCTTACAATCCAAAATCCTTCGAACAATCCTCAATCCTTTCTACTTTATCACAAATAAAATTATCCATAATGATCTTGATGTTCCAAATGTTACCAAATTAATCCAATCCATATACCTATCCTGTCCTAATTGCATCGTCTTCGCTTCTTGACAATTCTACGAGGCATCTGAGAAGAAGATGGTCTGGAGATCTTCTAATATAGAACTAGAATTGAATTGTATCCAATGGGTAGTGTCTCTTCAAGTCGTAAATATCATATTACTAATTTAAACTTACTAATTTTATTTTTTGCTATACAGTTGTAATTTTCAATAAATATATATTTTTTTAAATGTTTTTTTTTTATTTTTTGTTTACTATTCCGCTGAATCATGAAGTTAGATTGTTCGTTCAACGGCTACTCATCATGCATCTTTTAAATATTCACCAGATTTTTTAAATTTTTTAAAATTTTTATTCAATCAGCCGTGATTTCGAAAAGGCTGCTATAATAAAGATTCAATACAAAGTTATAATTTCCATTAAAGTATACAACTGCGGTATTGTTGCTGGAACAATTGTGCCAGGGAAGGAAGGACCCTCTGATCCTAACGAGGTGGCACATAACGTGAAGTTTTACGATTTAGCGGCCGGGTAGGATATTGTACCTTGTTAAGGGATGGAAAAGCTCTCCGCCGGGCACATAAATCAAAACTTTGCCCCAACAGCCGATAGTAGCCAACTTAAGCCCCGCTTCAATTAAAGGAATGATTAAATTATGTATCTCGCCCATTTTGTTTCTTTTATATATGGCAGTAAGTATTGAATTTCTGTAATTTTTTTTTATTTTACAATTTATGTACGACATACTTAGCAATTCCAAAACATTGATTGCTACCCATTTGCTAAGGATACTACAATTTTAACAAACTGCAACAAACTTAATCTTCCACAAGCCTTGCTGAATACACAAAATCATCACTGAATTGTTACTTATTTTGGTGTAATTTGGTATAAATTATGAAAAATCGAAACGTATACACTTAGACGAGACACGTGCCCACTAGTGTTGCCCAAAATCGGTCTTGGTCTTGCACATTGCAAGACCAAGACGAAGGCCGCCTAAATGTTGCAAGACCAAGACCAGGACTGGTAAAAAAAAATCGACTTTTTTAAAAAAAAAATTAATTTAAAATAAAAATAGTTACTAATACTCGACAATCTTAGTTAATATATGTAAATAATTGGTATAACCAATATAGTTTTGCATTTAATTCCTTTAATTTTTCATTCAGGCTTACTTAGGTTTCTCCTATCTACAAAATACAGTACTGTAAGACTGTTGCGAGACTCTTGTGCAAGACCAAGACCATGACCAAACTGTGTTTGCAAGACCAAGTCTGGGTCTCGCATTTGGGCAACACTAGTGCCCACCATTATATATTGGCAAGATCCAAATCCCTAAAACGGATACAGGGGAGAGATGGGCTAAAAGTTACCGGAGTAGGTTGTTCCGAGTGAAATGGCTCCAAAACGAAAATATAAGTCTTAGGCATGACTTAAGTCATATATATTCTGTGATTCTTATAATATAAACTATGTTATGTGGTTCTAATTATAAAAATCTGGTGCGCGCAACACACAACCTTCACTTACCACTTTAGTTTGAATAGAAATTGTTTTCTGGCAATTTTTTTTTGAAGTTCATTTTAAATTGAGGTAAAACTTACAGCTTACAGATAATAAATCATCAAGGCCATTAAAATTACAAAAAGTTTATTTATTACATCGACGGTAGGAAATAAAAATCTAGTTACTACATCTGTTTTTATATGGGACAACCAAAAAGACTATCACCAAGGTTCCGTGGTACGTCAGTAACATTACTTTACATAAAGACTTACAGATGCCAATAGTTAACGACTACATACGAACCCAGTACAAGACATTTCATAATAACTTACACGGACATATTAACTCATTGATTCGCTGCATGGCCACAACTAACATGCCCGTTGCACCCGAAGGAGGCTTAAAAGACGCTGGATGAGGGATCTCCTCCACTAACTATAAATGTTACATTCAAGACAGGAAAGAAGCCGCTAGGCACTCCTCTTCCTCATCTCTATTCATACATTCCTCATGACCTTCTACATTTTAACATCACACTCGCTGATTGTTGGAACTTCTGACAGGTGTGAATTTAAAATTAAGTTCTTGTATATATATATATGAACTTAATTTTCATATATATATATATATATATATATATATATACACATGAACTAGAAGTAGAAAGGTTTTTACTGTGTCTACATAGCATTAAATTTCTATAAAACCATAAACAGGGAAATCTGTTGTTGTTGGAAATATGTCCGAAATTTCGTTGTATTGAAAAGCTAAAAAATCAAGAGCTTATAATTATAATGGTATAAAGTCCTATAACCAGTAAAATAAGAGTTCGGTTACAATAATAAATCAAATACGTTTATTAGGTATCACATTTATAATTAAAATATTAAGCAAATTATAATTCTTTTATACATCATTTTCCAGTGCAAATCCTGTAGTTTGGTGTGGTTTCTGAAACAAAACAAAAATAATCACTTACTTTCATTGCAGCACTTATCTATTTGAACTTGATAATTATTTCGGGAATTCTATAATTTAAGATATTTTTAAACGATCAAGCGATGCGTTGGCATGTCTTTTTTTTTTAAGAATAAACTTCTGTATTGAAGTCAATGCATGATATCTTCATGGGTAAAATTATTACATCGTAAATACATAGATAAAGGCTTAAGGAACCTATCAATAAAATATTGAAAAACATTACCGCTGATCACTCTTGATTTCCTTCCCTTCATTGTCTGCAATTCATTTAGACTAAAGACCTGGAAACAGGCCAGTAAGGTAGAAAGGTAGTAGAAAACGGGTCATGTGAATAATTTTTTTGGTTATATTCTTAAGTATTTATTTACTTAATGGGAACTAGAGTTTAGATGTATAATTGTCTGAAAATAATAAACCATTGTGGAATAATTTGCAGCGTTTTTTTTTGTTTCGATTTCGAGATCATTTATTGGATTTCATGAAGGTCTGTATTTAATTCAATAATTTCCAAGCCATCAGTATCTGTGACACCATCCAGAGTTAAGCCCTTTACCGCACCAGTGACTTTTCTGGTGACTCTTCTTGAAAGCTTTACTATTTAAAACTCTTTTTTTTCGACCTTTTAATTTTAAGTTAAACCGCTTTCATCTTACCTGTAGGTACTTCTCTAGAGTGTGGTAATACATGAATAACCCCTACTGTTAAAAGCAATCATTAACCCAAAATCTTGTTTTCTCATTGTTTTGGATTATATTCATCACTTGATACATTCATTACCTATTTACTTATTTATATAAATATCCTCAGAACAATTACCCTCGACCATGTCTTCTATCCAGTCTATGAAAGCGGTGACATCAGTCTGCACAGAGGGTCGACGGGCTTTCCTGTCAGCCAATGACACTAGGCCAACCTGTATTACGTGCGTTCTATTTTCGGACCTCTTCCAGATTACTGGACTTCCAGAATCTCCCTGAAATAGGAAATATATAGTATAAAATTACAGCTGTCGATAATCTATTTTTAATGCAGAAATTATAGAAAAATATTACGTAACGTTATTGATTACTGATTATTTTTTTTAGGTAGACCGTTGAAGTATTACCAAAGACTACATGAGATTTCAACTAAAACAAGACAAAACGAATGGAGGGATCACTGAATGTACTTTTTGAAGATATGTCAGTTTACTAAGCGTGTATCTCTAAGTGCATTCTTAAATATCTCAACGGAATCTTGAAAGATAGAATAGCTAAGCATTACTGGAATTAAACTCCAGCATAAAAATTGTATAAATTTTCATCTGAAATTCAGATCCGAATCATTAAAAATATCTGGCTTGTTTTTGAAATGAGCAGTCTCCTTTTATTAACTCAAATAATCAGAATATTAAATTATACAAAATATTTCTTTTTATTTGAAATATTCCATTATTGCTGATGAAGTTTCCAATATATAGTACCAATGAATTTATACTTTTTCCATAGAAATTAATTGAAAATATGTAGTGCGAAGAATTTTCATTATTTATATTAATTGTGGTTAGTTTATATTTATAAATAAAGCAATATTTTTAATCGTTAATAATTGCGAGCGGGTCAATGCATGTGCAAAATAAGCGTTGCTACTTGTTTGCATGTTATTTGTTTAAACGTTACTCTATACTGATAAATCGAAGTTTATATGAAATAAGAATTACGTTCGTATAACGGTGCCGTGGAGAGGGAATTTTAAGTCACATATTAATTCCCCTGTACTCTCTGCTGCCCCGGGAAATATCCCGGATAGCCTAGACGAGAAAGGAGTGGACAAAAAAACTATGGCGTGTGCTTTAGACTACGCGATAGAAGTGAAAACATCAATAAGGCGAGATTAATAATATGAAATATTTATTAGTTGTACATATTTGTGGCTCACAATAAATTTGCCATCTACCTTGGTATTCAGCAAATATGATATCAAGGAGAAGAATAACAAAACAAAAAGACAAAAAAACTAAAACAAAAAACGTTGTAAAATAGCACATGCATTATAACATAATAACAAATACACACGAAGTCCTCATTAAACCACTATGGAAATATGGGATCGAACTATGGAAAACAGCAAAGAAATCAAATATAAAAATCATTCAGTCATTCCAGTCAAAAGTCCTTCGGAAAATTGTAGACGCACCTTTTCTTGTATCAAACCTCACGTTACACACTGACCTTAACACTCCTTTCATCACGGCAACTGCCACTGACCGCTTTAATAATTTTCATGACAGACTGACTCTAAATTCCAATCCACTTACTCATGCTCTATCTACTGCCACAAATCCATATAATCCGCCCAGAAGACTGCTGAGGCGCTGCCCAAGAGACTTATTGCATTGAGCTACTTGCTGCATTATCTTTTTTGTGTGTGTATTTGTTATTATGTTATAATATGAAATATAAATTATAAATAATAGCTCATTATAATGAGGATGGAATGCTCAATATTTCCCTCGCTTACACTATGCAGGTTCGATTTTTAGTTTCTGAGATAATTTTAGTCCACGCCTTCAATAAAAATCGTTATAATTTGGTTTTCGACATTACTTTTTCCTTTTTACCTCTCTAACGCGGCGTCGCGTTAAGATACAATTTTGAATAGTAGCCGATCACAGTCCGATTTTTAGTTTATCTTTTAATCCATATGCAAAAACACTTCAATTAATCAACTCCAGCCGACTTTATTCGAGCGTCACACATCGGAAATCTGACGGCTCAATCTAATTCACTCTTAGAAGTTTTCACTTCAAAAACTTATCCTCAAATTAGTCCAGTATATTTCTATTACCATTTTAGCACCAGTTTTGCAATGGTGTATTATTCTAAATTGTGGTTTGTATTTACATTAAAAGCATAATGAAATTAATTTAAAAGAAATATACAAACAGTAATTTAGATAAAATAATACACCATTGCAAAGCAATAGAAGTAAAATCCCTCTCCCTTTGACAATCCCCACCAGCATGATATAAGTCAGTCCCTCCAGAAATTACGTAGGAGAAACACTAAAATATCAGGGTAGTTTTAATCTTCCCAGAAAAATTAATGTGAATAATGGAAATCTAATGGAGGACTCAATAAGGTAACAATCAAGTTTGTTTAATGTGTAAGTTACGTACATGATAGGCTTTCAAAAAATATAAAAATGCATATTTATTGTAATTGTATGACATAGATCATTAGATTAAATAATTATGTAAAATAAAATTAATTTTGTAAATGTAAAAATAAATGAAATTTAATCTAACAATGACAATTAATTTTTCCAGACTTGAAAATGACCCTAGTGTTGGTCGTAACGTTATCAAAATAAAATAAATAATTATTAAAATGTGGAAAATGGCTAAAAAAAAAAGATCTAAAGTAGACGGATCGAGGCGAGATAAATTGTCTTTTAAACGTTACCATGCGGACATTATGTATAACTGTAATGGGCTGCGCAATTTTTTAAAATTTAAATTAAAATGTATTTATTCTGGCCTTTCTTTAAACAATTATGAGCCGACCAATTGAAATGTTTTTGCATGTGGATTGAAATATCTTAGAAACTAAAAATCGCACCTGCTTACTATATGCGAGGAAATTGTCCAGCATTTCATTCTCTCTGTAGTGGACTCTTGCTTCAAATTGTATCCTAACGCGACCAAATAATAACGAGTTAATAACGAGTACCAGGAATGATGTGGGATCCTACAGAGGAGCGAATGTGAACTCGGACCACTATCTCATAACCTCTAAAGTTAGAGTACGGATTTCAAGGACAAGAAGACAGAACGGTGTTCCTATGTTACGATTTGACATATCCAAGGTCAAAAGCGAAGAGATTCAGACAAGGTTCAATGCTGGATACAAAGATTAGGACCATTGACCGTAATGGTCCATCGATAATCAATGGAAAGAATGTGAAACAGCTATGACTGAGGTAGCAAAGAAAGTAATTGGGTCGAGAAAAAGTGCAGAATAAAACCATGGTTCGATGAACAGTGCAAGGCACTAAATGAGGAAAAAAATCGAGCATACAGAACCATGATCCAGAAGAAACACACCAGAAGATATGTAGAAGAGTACCGTGCAAGAAGAAGAAGAGAAACTCACACACGGTGACGGAAGAAGCGACAGTGGGAAACCAAGAAGCTTACTGACATAGAAGCTGCTATCAATGAAAAAAGTAGCAGGGCATTTTGTAGAATGATTAATAAATACCGCAGAGGATTCCATCTCCTGAATCAGGCCTGTAGGGAAAACGATGACACGCTGGTCACCGAGGAAGCCCCAATCATGGAAGTATGGGCAAACCACTTCCAAAATCTATTAAATAGAGGATGTCAAGACAATATCCTCCCTAGTGACTTTCTGGAACGGGAGGTATTTATAGATCCCCAAGATGTAGAGAAAATACATGATGCGATTGGGGAATTAAAGAATAACAAGGCTCCAGGAATCAATAATTTCCCAGCTGAGCTCTTTAAACTTAGTGGGCGTGAAATAATAAAATTCCTTCAAGAGTTATTGATTGATATATGCAGAGAAGAAAGACTACCTGCTCAATGGAACAAAACAGTGATTTGCCCCATTCATAAGAAAGGGGATGTATCGGTATGTAATAACTACAGAGGCATCTCTCTCCTTCCCACCGCATACAAAATTTTATCCGCCATACTCTTCAATAGACTGCTTCCGTTTGCCGAACAAGAGCTCAGAAATTATCAATCTCGATTCCCACAAGAAAGATCTACGACAGTCAAATATTTATCCTACGAATCCTGCTGGAGAAAACAAGGGAATACCAGATACATACTCACCACCTTTTCATTGATTTCCAACAAGCCTACGATTCCGTGAACAGAGTAGAAGCATATAAAGCAATGGTTGATATAAGCATCCCTACCAAACTGGTTCGTCTAGTAAAAATGACGATGGAGGACGACTTAAGCTTTGCCAGAGTGGGTGGAATGTTATCAACAGGATTCACAACGAGGACAGGTGTGATGCAGGGTGATGGCCTGGTCTGTTTAGTGTTTAACGTTTCCCTTGAGAATACTAGGGAATCTGCTATCCAAGTAACAGGAAAACTTTTCAACTAGACAGTCCAGATTTTAGGATTTGCGGATGACTTGGATCTTGCGTGAAGGACTCTAAACGCCATAACAGAAGCTTTTAAAGCATTAAAGGAGTCTGTAGCAAGACTGGGCCTAATGATGAAGGTTGAAAAAACAAAATATATGTGCACCCTACCTACCCACGAAGATGGTGGGAGTCATGTCTCGATAGGTTGCCATAGATTTGAAAGAGTGGACTCATTCATATACCTGGAATCCCAAATCAACAGCAATAACTGCATTGAAGAAGAAATCCAAAGAGGGATCCTTTCCGAAAACCGCACCTATTTCTCCCTCCAAAAACTCTTGTACAGAAGTAGTGTGTTGTCGAAGGCCTCGAAAGCGAGAATTTATAAGATAATCACAGTTCTATATTTCAAAACTGCAATCCCCTACTCTGGAATCAACTTGCTCACTGTCTGTATAGATATAATTTCTCCAACTAGAAATATTAAATTTGTGACTTTATGGTTTAGTTCCAAATATTATAAATAAACCTTAAATCTCCTTCTATATTTAATGATTGTTCTAGATATAGATATTTTTTTATAAATTAGTTAGCTTCGTATAAGCTGTAAACATCAATAGGAACTATGTTACTATTAGGATTAAGAAACCTTTATATATAGAAGCAAACTGTCTCTCTATATACTGGATGAATTAAACAATAAAGTGAGTTGTTCTTGAACCTGCGTACTGTTACTTTGCACAAAACCCCTCCCCTTTTTTTAGTTCAGTTATTCAGTCTGATCATAAGTAATGTATTTCCTTTTATTATATTTTTTTACCATGTATTGTTTTATTTGTTATGCATTTTAGTTAATAACGGCTGGTTTCTAAATTGAACCTATAGTTTTAAAAAATGGATATTTTTTTAGATTGCTCAAGATAGGGACACAGATTCTCCGAAACGTTTTTCGCCCAATCCAAAGATTTGTGCTCACGTTTTTGTCTAACATTTTTAATTACAATTCATGTTATATGCTCATACTTACTCTAAACGGACTCTTCCCTTCCATGTACGTGCACAACTGATTCTCAAAGAACAAGTTCGGATATGATCTAACACACTCCTCCAAAGGTAGAACATCGAGCTCCACCTGACGAAGTTCGTCCGAGGTTGAGGGATCGCTAATAGACGTCATACCCCAACCTGCAACGGATCCTTTTACTATAGTTTCTCAGTAACAACATCTTCCTGCTAATAGATAACTTTTACTTACCCACCACAGTTACCTTTGCACCAAGATCCGCAAGTTCCAACTTGGTATTTGGAAGGCAGATTGGTCTAACTGTTGGCGTAAATTGTATTTTTCTTTGTGTCAACACCAGACCGATGTCATTAAGCACATACGTTGGATTATAATGTTCATGAACGAATAAGTGTTTTGATGGAATCAAATTTTCTTTCTTTACTGGTGAACCATAAAACAAAAATTAAATAAATATTAGGTTTAAATTATTTTGAGTTTGATATAAATAATTGATTATTTATCAAGTATTATTATTATTGTTTATTAATTATCTTTCTCGTCTAATTGTGCATGTTATGTATGTATGCGCATCCTCATAAATTAGTATAATAACGTTAGTAAAGAGTTGTTGTTTTTCAGTAAATGTTTGACTGGTGAATGCAAAGTATTTAAAGTTTTGTTAGTCAGGCACTATAGTGATTTTGTTATTAATCGTACTATTATTTATTAGAAAGTTTGAAGTTTTAGTAATTGGATGTTTTTACCTATACCATATAATTGTGAGGATTATGTCCAAAAAGGTTTAAGTAAGTAGATGCATGTATTTAGTTTCTGCCTCATAAGAGGAGGTAATCTATTTCAACCAATTTTTTCCGGTTATAATACATTGCAAAATATTGGACACCTCTCAGTGTTCGCTCCAATGTAATAATCATTAACATCTATTGAAGAATAGATAAAATCTTAATTATATTTGTGTGTAAAGGAAATATAATTTCAAATCTAAGATAATATATACAAAAATCATATGATTTATTCAAGAATATTTTTCGATAAAAAGTATGAAAAAAATATATATCTATGCTCTGGAGGTAAAGGACAGGCCGTGTCTATTTTTTATTGAATAATTTAGTAATAGTTTGTCGGTACACTGCATTTTCTTATTCATCATATTTCCCTTCAAGTGAGAAAAATAGTCACATATTAGAGTAATTCAAGGAAATAAATGTTATAAAGGAAAAGAAACTTTATTTTCTAATAATTCAGAAGCATTTTAATTTATTGTACCGATATTTGGAATATTATGGAATTCTCTGACAAAAAAAAAAAAAAAAAAAATCGGACCATTATTACCTGAGATGCAGGATATCGTCATTAGTTATCATTTTGGTTTAAAATAAGAATCGAATTATATACTATTTTTTTCTCGTTGGTAGATTGAAATTACCGAATAAATAGGAAATAATTCCTTCACATTAGAATACGTTGAATTATTTGATTTTCTAAATACTTTTTAGTTATATTAATCTATGAATTAGGCCGTAGAAGCCGAGAAAAATATATTTCAAATAAAATTTATGTTATTTATTTTTTAACCTTTGCTTTGTCTTTGGATTTTTAGGTTTTTATAGATCAATTGGTTTCTTTTTTTATGCACACTAAGAAAAAAAAGTTTGACTATTGAATTAAATGTGGTATCACCTAAAAAAGTTTCATTGATATCGGTGACCTCACTTCCGCAAGCTCTACTTGCAAGTGAAAATTATCGATTTTCGAGTGTTTTAACTTCTTATATCAAAGAAGTTAAAAGAAAAAAAATCAGGGTATTTTGACGTACAAGAAGTGTCTACAAACAGAGGGTCAACGATTTCAACCAATTTATTTCCTGTGATAGCACTCCAAAAATATTGGACTCATGTCCCGGCTTTCGTTATAATAGGCCTTAAAAGTCGCGAAAAAAGTATAAAAGCTTACAGCAAAAGCAAGTTAGATTAGTTTTTAAAGTCCTTTAAAACTCTTGACTTCGATTTTTTGTGGAAATCAAAAATTGCAAAATTTAATACTTGATTTTCTAAGAGTATTTTTATTCCGACCGATAGCTAAAGAATTTCAGCATTTTCTACAAATTCAACGTTAGTGCAACCGTTGGAAAGATGAATTGCTGCTCCTCTATACCACATCGATAACGTTTAGATTTCATTCGTTTTTATACCAGAAATTAAGAAAAACTACTCAATTATTTTTATTTTACATCATTGGTTTTAATTTGTTTGCGAAGGTCGGTTTTGTACCATTTCGTGTAGCATATGAACTTACTGGCGGATCTACGGGTTGGAGGGAAGGGTTTCGGGCTGAAGCCCCTCCCCCCAAATGGTAAAATACAACCATTTCTTATGAAAAAATATTAAAAAATTATCTCTGAAAATATTATTGTTTGTGTAATTACATTTAATAGGATTTCAAAAATCACTTTCAAGAACACCATTTCATATAGGTAATTAGGATTTTTCTTCGTCTTTCTATTTTCTTCTTCTGTTTTTCTTATAATCTCTCTCTCTCTCTCTCTCTCTCTCTCTCTCTCTCTCTCTCTCTCTCTCTCTCTCTCTCTCTCTCTCTCTCTCTCTCTCACTCTCACTCACTCACTCACTCACTCACTCACTCACTCACTCACTCACTCACTCACTCACTCACTCACTCACTCACTTACTCACTCACTCACTCTCTCTCTCTCTCTCTCTCTCTCTCTCTATATATATATATATATATATATATATATATATATATATATATATATATATATATATAAAATATAAAATCTTTTTGGCTAAAGTTCTCTCCGAAAATTAAAATCATGGATCCGCTAGTGTATTAACCCCTAAATTCCTAATATGTTTTGTGTGGATCGGTGGAGCCTTACTAAAGCTATCTCAATTTTTCTAAGTATGTAGGTAGCTTCACCAAATCCGTTACAACTGTTTCAACTTTTTTTTTGTATCCTCTCCTCCCTCGTCTTTTAGGCCAAACGGGATTTTTCCGAGCCAGAGGGATCAAGAACAGAGTTAGAACCCCTCTGCACCGGGAAGCCAACTCATAATTATTTTATCATATTATTTTCTTAATTAGGTAGTTGGTGATTAGTACACGCGTTACCCCGCTCTGTCACCCCGCTTCCTAAAAAAATCTACAACAAAAATAATGATATTGTTCTCAACTAATCTGCTAATGAAATTGGTATATCTTATTGTAATATATCCCACATTAGAAAACAATCTTCCTCTTTGATCAGTGTTGTCCAAATGCGAGACCAAGACGAGTCTTGGTCTTGCACTAGAGTGTTGCAACAATCATGCAGTTACCTATCAGCTTTTTATTATTATAGAGATATTTCTATAATTTTTTAGATAGAAGAAACCTAACTAAGCCCGAATGAAAAATTATAAGAGTTAAATGCAAAAGTATATTTGCTACACCAATTCTTTACATATAGTAACTAAAATTGCCAGATATTAATAACTATTTTGCCTTAATTTTTATTCAAAAATTTTTTTTTATCACTCTTGATCTTGGACTTGCAACAGTATGGTGTCTTTGGTCTTGTAAAGTGGAAGACCAAGACCGATTTTGGCCAACACTATCACTGATGCATCTATGTATAAGCAGCATCAGTATACCTACGGCACTATCAATACCTATTCATTATAACACCTATGACTTATCGCTTCGAAATTTTTGATGTAATGATTTGGAATAATGATCTGCAAATCATTTAATCCATTCATTGAATTGATTTCCCATACTTAAATTGTGTTAAACAATTCACTATGCACTTGTAGAATTGCAGAGAAGAGAAAATAATAGATGAAGAAACTTACTTTGACTTATCTTTTGTTGCCCAGCAGCGATCCAGACGTTGTAGGCCCGATTCCGATTGAGGCAGTGAGCTGCAGTCAAGACATGCCTGGGTGTGATGATGCTCCCGCCGCAAAACAGGTAATAATCCACGCCCCAGCCCCTGGACATGAGAGCTACTGCCCACGGGTGGGAATCCTCGGCTGCCACGGTCCCGTTAATGATATTCTAATTTACAACAATAACAATACACAACAGTATAAACAAAAAGTTTTCATGAAGAGAACAATAGTTGGGGTGATCAGTCAAATAAGAAGGCAAAAATAAATGATGATATTTGGTTTGACATTTGCCGACGTTTCGACCTGAAGTTCAGGCCATCATCAGGGCTAAGAAAAGAACCAGATAACAAGGTATGAGAAATATAAGTAGTGTAGGTAAAAAAAAAAAAAAAAGTTACAGTAAAATGCAGTTGTTAGAATGATTACAATAGTAAGAACTAAGAGATAAATGATAATAAGCGGTACACAGTGTGGAATGATGAAGTAAACATAATCAAAAAGGTGACATAAGTATTAAAATGGGAATCTTAGAATAAAATGTAAAACAGAAAAATATGAAGTTATATAAGAAATGGAAATACAGTAAAATTAAGATATTGTGAATAGAATAGTTAGATAGAAAATTGAGATGTTGTAAAGTCTATCAAGATGCATAGACAACGTATAATATAATAAAGAGTTAAAACAGAGAAAAGGGATGAAAGGAAGGAGGAAAGAAACTGAGAAGTCTGAAATACGAAAGAGAATAAGAAAGAAAAAGAAAAACACACCTGACTGCAAAGAAGTAAATCGAAGCGATGAGCATGTTAGTTCGGGGAGGGGGTGGAGAGAAGGGATGTATAGTGGCGTCATCTCCAACGATTTCTCTTATTCCCGCTTATTATCATTTATCTCTTAGTTATTATTATTGCCATTATTCTAACAACTGCATTTTACTTTATTTTGTTTTTTACCTACACTACTTATGTTTAATCGTACTTACTTATGTTATCGTACTTACTTATGTTATCGTACTACTTATGTTTAATCAAAACGTCGGCAAATGTCAAAATAAATATCATTTATTTTTGCCTTCTTATTTGACTGATCCCCCCAACTATTCTTCTCTTCATTATTCACGACAGTCAACCATTCACCAATTATAACAAAGTTTTCATATGGTATAGAAGTGTGTATTTAACATTATCCAAAAAACGCGAATCAAACAGTTTGAGAATTCCCAAGAGAGGATTTTTGACAAGAATCTTTAGAAAGTTGTCTCGTTTTCACTATGTTGTCCCACATCGAGGAATCGATGAGGGAGGTGTGTAAATAAGACAGTCACGGATTAGTCGTTTTTTATGCTGTGACTATTGTTGTCTTGATTTAAAATTGTAAAACTCCGAAAATATCTGTTGTTTTTTTTAATTTGCCTTTTATATACATATATATATTTATATGTAATTTAATACTATTATTATCATTTTTTTGTATATATACACTACATCATGTCATAATGATAAATTACATGTTTGTGGTTGCAGTAACCTTATACATGACATACTAGTGGTATGAATGCTGATTAGAAAATAGAAACTAGAATAAATGTATTTCATTATTTCAGAATTTGTAATTTTTAAAAGAATTTAAAATGGATTTTTCATTCATAACTTATTCGCAATTTTCTTATATAACCCTCCAACCAAGTAAAATAATTATGTGATTTGACATTCTGTCATCCCGAAGTAAGTGTTGTTAGCAAAAATAATCATGATAATTTGTTGAAAACCTTTAATTTTCTTTTTTTCTCTTGATCTTGAATGCATTAGAATAAATATATGGCATAAATACAATTTTCATTTATAAATAAAGACAAAAATAATGATTTTTCGAATAGTTATCGTCTTAAGTGATAATTGAATTGTGCTTTATTCCCAACATCTTTATTGCGGAAAAATATTGCGAATCCTTATGTTTTTAGCTAAAGTAATTAAAGCAATCAGCAAGTTTTTTTTATTTTAAACGTAAATATTAGGGAATAGATTATTTATTTGAGTACTTATTCCTATCAATCAATTCTTATAATAGAGACCATGGTAAAATATACTTTATACTATAAATATTCGAAAAATTAATATTTTTGAAATTTATTTACTTATAAATAAAAAGTGAATTTATGAATTTATATTTATTATACATCCTGGGCAAAATCCTGGAAAAGTTCATCCTAAAACGTATTAACCCCATCCTAGATTCCAATCACATTATCTCAGATCATCAATTTGGATTCCGCATATCCCGTTTCACTATCCAGCAATGCCATCGTATGGTGGATGTTGTCTCCTCTGCATTGGAGCGCGGGATGCACTGCACGGAAGTCTTTCTCGACGTAGAACAGGCTTTTGATCGAGTATGGCACCTGCGACTGCTTTACAAACTCAGTAAATTCCTACATCCTACATACTTCCTCATTATCCGTTCCTATATAACTGATTCATCCTTCAAAGTAAATCATAATAATGCTTAGTCACCCCTCTTTTCCCAGTCCGGTGGTGTTCCTCAATTTAGTATCCTAGGTCCTGTCCATTACACAGTTCATACAGCTGATATCCCAACCCATCCTAATACTGCCATTACCACGTATGCCGATGATACATGTATCCAAGCAGTTAATAATGACCCAACGATTGCATCCCAAATTTTTCAATCACACATCTCAAACCTTGAAGAATGGTTTCAAAGCTAGAGGATAAAATAAATTCCATCAAATCACCTTTACCCCTTGTCGTAAACCTTTGTCCTCCTGTCCTACAGTATCCTTTGATAATACCCGACTTATTCCTGTTGAAGAAATCCGATACCTTAGACTCCACTTAGACAAACGTCTAACTTGGAATCCTCATACTAGACTGAAACGAAAAGGAACCGCTAGACGTTTCCGACTACTCCAAGACTTACTCGACAAACGCTCTAAACTTTCAGTTATTTACAAAAGACTCATATACATTATTACAATAACATCTATTTGGGCATACGAAGTTGAGCTCTGGGGCTCCACTAATCCATCGAATTCCTCTCGTATCCAATCCTTACAATCCAAAATCCTTCGTAAAATCCTCACTGCTTCTTACTTTGTTACAAATAAAATCATCCGTAAAGAACTTAATGATCCTCATGTTTCTGGGTTGGCCCAATCCAAATACCTATCCTTCTATAACAAACTTCAAAACCATCCAAACCCTCTCGTTTCTAACTTTGTTTCCTCTTCGATTCCTAACAACTCTCCGAGGTTCCTGAAAAGTACATGGCTTCGAGATAAATACATTTTTAGAGTGCCACCAGTGGGTAGTTTTTCAACAAGTAGTTTAATGTTATTATATTCTTGTGTTCACACTTACTGAATGTCTTTTTATTTGTAATACAGTTGTAAATATCATTTAAAAAAATGTATTATAATCTATCCCAGGTGAGACAAAAAAATAAATTAAAGCTTTTCAATAATTTATTATAGTCATGTTTGCTGAAAACACCGGTACTTTTTGGGGACAGGGTATAAAAGCCCTCATTTTTTTAAACAACGTAGTAAGTCTCAACTTATTTCGTAATAACTTCAAGTTAATTAATATGAACATAAAACTATAAAATTGGGATATTTATTTGAAAGTGAGGTATCTGTAGTAGAGTTGGAGGGTGATATAAAAAAATCGGAAATAATTCATGAATTTCTAAAAACCAAGACTTAGCTTTGTTTAACCGTTCAAAAATTCTCTTTAAATAATTTTAACAATGACTCCAATTTCCTTTGAAATAAATTTTGTGTAGTTTATTGTGAAGCAATTGGTAATTACTTATGTTAAATAAGTTTTCAGTTATTTCTTTGTTTCACTAAAAAAAAAAACTGACTTAGGTAAAAAAAAAAGCCGATTTTCTGTGGAAAATCGGACTATAGATTATATAAAAATTTTTATAGTTCTTGAAGTTCGCTATCGTTCCTTTGAATATTTTCCTGTTCTTACGGGTCACCTTGTATATAGTTATGGGCATTCTTACAAAAGGGCTCTTATTCATTATAACCATTTATTCTTATTTGATATCACTTTGATAACTTTATGTTTATTAATACCGTAATTGTTATGAATTTACTTTGTATACTTCTAAAAGATTTTTATTTTATATCTTTTATTGTTAGCATTGTTATCTAAATGGTGCAGTACAAAGGCATTATTACTTTTTTTTTACCAAAGAAGATTATGGAATTAGCCGGTACTATTTTCTTTAAATTAAACTTGTACACATTCGCCTCTTCCAATGAAAACTTGTTCAAAGTTTTTTAAAATTTGTATATTATCCGAATACTAGAGTTCGTGTACAATGAAAAATAAAAGAATATATAACAAGTAATGTCTTATAAGAATACTATGGAAATCTTAATTGGTACAATTAATAAAGCTACTATAGTTCTATTTTATATCGTTATACTTTGTTTTTTGTGTCATATATATTTATTAGAAATAATGGATAAACTCCTTCCTCGGAGAAAATAAATATCTGTGGTACCTGTGAATAGTGTTTTAAATGGAAAAATCATATTTTACTAAAAACGGAATTAAAGGAATTTTTAAAGGTGCGAGTTCATCGAGTTCAAACTCATGGTCACAAAGAGAAATTCATCTCTGTAATGTGTCGAACAGTCTAAAATTTCACAATATCGCCTTTAACACACTATCCAAAATTACCATAGATATCATCTTTTTAAAAAGTTTAGTAGAATAATTAATAGACTAGATGGATTTTTAACAACTGTTTATAGATGTAATTAAAAAAAATATATATAAATTTAATATATATATTCCCTACAAGTTATATTTCGTTATTATTTTGTCATAATTAAAAACCTCTTTTTACTTTTTTATTTGCTCGATTTTATGCTTACATGCCACCATTATTTATAATTGTAAATACGTTCGATGCTATTGCAATCATAAAAAAAAAAAGATTTAAAATTCACTTGTGGAATCTTACCAAATTCGCTGATTTACAACTGCATGAGCTTTGGCCATATCTGCTTGCTGCAACTACATGTAAACCCAAAAACATAATGACCGGTATCTTCATCTTATAGAGGAAGAGAAAAACTCTGCCTGTAACACAGTAAAACACAATTATAAAAGTTTCGAGTTTGTAAATGTTGTTAGAAATTAAAACAAACGTTTTTTTGATGTTAATTATTTGTAATAACTACGAATATAATAAATTTATCAATAAGGTCTGGTTAACCCAAAAGTTCTATGACGATGCCATCCCCTTATCACATAAAAAAATTATATCCAAAAACGACAAATTAAATTGTTAGATGATAAAGAAAAATAAAAATGCGTATAATTTCAGATTGTTTTGAAAACAGAACATAGCTTAGTTTAGCCGTTCAAAATTCCCCTTTAAATGGTTTTAACAATGACAAAATCTATTTTCATTAGAAACAGATATTGTCTGGTTTACAGTGAAGCAATTGCTAAATACATAAGTTAAATACTTCGTTAGTAATCACTTCCTATTCAACAAAAAGACTTGATTTAATTTTAAGAATACAAAACTTAAAGTTCCTGATTTACTGCCGAAAATTGGCCGATTATTTATATGAATTTTTGTTTGTAACTCTTAATGTCTCCGCGTATTGCGTATGAAAATTTCCTCGTAATTATGGTATACTCTGAATATTCTGATTTATTTAATTTTTCTTTTTTTATTCTAATATTTTATTTTTTTTTTAACCTAAATCATACTTCATAATATCTATGAATTGAGATTTATCTAACAGTTATAATAAATTTGAAATGATCTTGGGTGGCTACCGTGAGTGGACAAATTTGATTTTTTTAAAAATTAAGTCTTGTCGGGATTGGAGCCCTAGTTTAATTCCTCAGGATCATTCCTGGATCATTTATTTATTTTCGAAAATTAAAAATTAGTAAGGTGTTATTGCGTTCGTGAATAAATTCACAAATTATCTTATCAACAGTCAATTAACGAATTTTCAAACCCTTTTTTTATCCCAAAATATATAAAACATAAAAATTCTTTTATCAATGTTAAAAAACATTTATTTAGTCATATCAAGATATATATTTGAAACTATTCGGCAACTTGCCATTTTCAAAGGTTTCTTTACACATTTTATTCACCACCATTTATTTTTATATACAGATTTTATATTTTTACACAGGTGGTAAATAATGTGTATAAAGAAAAGTCTGAAAATGGCCAAGTGGCAGAAACTACACAAATATTTACAGACCCCTTTTTATCGAATTGTTATCATCCGCCTGAAACTTAAATATTTCGTAACCTACAGCTATTTTATTTACGAAAACTCTTGGAATTGGAGCGTTTTCAATCTGGAGGGATACAAACTTTGTCTATCTAATTAGGTACTGAAAACTTGTAAATACCCATTTGCTTTCTACTTGGATCGTAACATAAATTTATCACAAAATCGATAAAAAAAGTTGGCCTACAAAAATATTGAGCAATTTGTCATATATAACCTCGTTATTTTGAAAACTTGGGGGTGTAGGTCACGCCAAACGACTCAATATTTTTAAAGGCCATATTATTCCTCGACTTCGTGATCAAATCATCTTACGATCCGAGTAGAAAGCAAAGGTGTATTTACGAGTTTTTAGTAGCTAATTAAATAGACAAAGTTTGCCTCCTTCCAGATTGAAAACGCACCAATTCCAAGAGTTTTCGTAAATAAAATAGTTGTGGGTTGCGATGAGATGAAACTATTTACGAAGTTTCAGGCGGATGTTAATAATTCCATAAATAGGGGTCTGCACCACGGACTCTAATGGGATAATATCTATCAAAGATGTAAAAGTAGGTATTACGAGTTTTAAAATAATAGCTGCTGAAATCATATCTGCGCGGTCCTGAAGTTATATCTAAAAATCATGAACTTCAATACTATTTAAGTATTCACTACTATTTAACCAAAGAGGCATACATAATTACATATATAAATAAATATATATATATATATATATATATATATAAGAAAAAATTGAGATCAAAATTAATAATGTGAACATACCTTTCTAATTTTACACAAACTTAACGTACCTTTAACTAAATGTTAAATTCGAGAGACTGTCGGAGATTTTATTCTTAACTTATATCTAGTTTGATGTGAAATTATTTTTTTTTTATCATAGAATAATTTATGGTTAACTCATATAATTTTGAATAATGGGTAGTTAATGTCAACTGTTATTGCGAATATCATTCAAACTACATGCATTAAAGTTGACGTATCATTTAAAATGATCGATGAACATTTTAAGTATTATTGAAAATATTTATTTAATCGTAGATTGTTTAAATATTCATTTAGAATTTGACTGTATAAATTTATGAATTAGCTAATTTTAACTTAAACTTGTGTTACTTTTTTTCTTAACAGAAACAACTGCTGTAAAGACAACGATAATTCAAAAGCTCAAAATTCATAATTTGTGGGATATGCAAACGTAATTGAAAACAAAACAAACATTCTTTAAATGCTCAAATATTTAATAAACATATATATATATATATATATATATATATATATATATATATATATATATATATATATATATATATATATTATCTAATTTATCTTTAAAAACTAATCAAGAATAAAATAATGTTATAAATCTTGACCTAGCCATTGGTAATAATGTTTAATTTTATAGTGTACTGGTCCTTAATTCCAGTAATGCTGCTAAATGAATGGCGCTGAGATCTCCTAAAGTTCTGCCTTTCCTTCCACGTGTGGGGGAATAAATTTTGTAATGTAAAAAAGTATGTGTATTGAAGTTGTTATTCTGATTTGGTTAGTTAATTTTTGTTTATATACATTTAATTTTAATATTATTATTTTGCTGGTTAATTTTTTTTACTGTACATGGTGTGAAGGATAACTATTACTATTGTTCTTGGGTGTGACAGATTGTAACATTACTCAATAAAGGAATGCGGTAAAAAAAAAAATGATATTCATTCCTTATTATGTAGGCATACCAAATAATTTCTTAATACGTCTCAAAGAAGCTATATTTCTGCGGCAGAATACCGCTAATTTTGACATATAATAGTCAAAACACGAAAAATTAATTTTAGTTCATTGCTAAGCTGTTACCTGATTTGAGTCCAAAATACATTTAAAGTTTTATAGTTCGTTTATAGGAAATGTAAAAATTGCACAAAAAGGGATTTGTTTTTTTTATCTCATAATTTTTTTTTTAATTTTTAGATGAACATTGAAAATTCAGTAGATTAATTTAACGCAGTTCAATTAGTTAAAATTCAATACACTTCTTACTATACGTAAAATCGTAATAATTTACTTCAACAATTCGATGCCCCTCCGAAACCTAAGTTTACCGTTAACAAGGTTACCTAAATTCTCTTGGATCAATCATATTTATTTGTTAAAACAGATATTAAATATGCGTTAGATGAGAAATACTGAATAGGCACCTTTTTTTTTTTTTTTTTTTTTTACACCTTTTACTTTCAGAGATTGCGGGAGTTATGAGTTATGAATTATGGGCAATATACCAAAAAGCCTATCAAATTGTATATTTAAAATGTAAACATAAAAGCTGAGAAACAAAAAGTTAAAAAATGAAGGAGTGATGTAGGTAGTACTCAATACAGCCAAGAGATGGCAGTACCTCCTCAGCTCAAAAGGCAGCCACCTAACGATAGCCACCGAAGATCATTCCAAATGGAACGATGGAACGGCTAAATGGAGCCACTGCAGTGCTTAGTTGAATAATTTTGTATTGATGAAATAAACAAAAAGTGAAAAATCATTTTAATTATGATAGCCCCCCGTACAATACTGAAACGACTAGAAACTGCCCGACGTTTTCGACCACTGCAGCACATATTAGAAAAACGCTCTAAACTACCAACTATTCATAAAAAACTCATATATATTTCTATAATAAGGCCTCTGTCACAAATAAAATCATCCATAACGACCTTAATGTACCACATGTTTCCGATTTAGCTCAATCGAAATATCTATCCTTCCATAATAGACTTCTTAACCATCCGAACCCTCTCGTTTCCAACCTTGCTTCCTTTTCTATTCCTGATAAAATTCCGAGGCGTCTGAAAAGAAGATGGCTTCGGATCCTTCAAATATAGAAATAAAATTGGAGTGCTACAAATGGTTAGTTTCTCTTCATGTTGTTCATGTCATGTTACTTGTTTCATATTTACTTGTTGTATTTATCATTTAATACAGTTGTAAATTTCAATAGTAAAAAAATTATGATTTACTAATCCATTAAAATAGTTAATTTTCTTCTAATTGATATTTAAGAAGATTAAGTTTAGCATGCTAGCTGTTAGATAAATGTCAATTCATAGATATTATGAAGTATGATTTAGGTATAAAAAAATAAATATATATATTAGAATAAAAAAAGGAAACTGAATGTAAAAAAAAATGAAATAAATCAGTATATTCAGGGTGTACCATAATTACGGGAAAAATTGTATACGCGCAATACGCGGAGACCTTAAGATTACAAAAAAAAAATTCATATAAATAATCGGCCAATTTTCGGCAGTAAATTAGGAACTTTAATTTTTGTGTTTTTAAAATTAAATCAAGTCTTTTTGTTGAATAGGGAGTGATTACTAAAGAAATATTTAAATTATGTAAAGCAGACAATATTTTTTTCTGATGAAAATAGATTTTGTCATTGTTGAAACCATTTAAAGGGGCTAAACTAAGCTATGTTCTGTTTTCAAATCAATCAGAAATTTTTTTTGTTATCATCAACCAACCTACTAAAGATACTCCACTTTAAGAAATACTTCATCGTTTAGTAAGCTTTAAGTCCATATGAATTAAGTTGAGGTTTATTCGACGAAAACTGAAGATTGATCTCAAGTTATGAAAAAAAATTATGTGATTTTTTATCCTGTCACATAAAAGTACCCGTGTTTTTTTTTTTTGTTTTTTTTTTCTGTTCCTTCCTCGCCGTTAAGGCTATACCGGGTTTTCCCGGGCCAGAGAGTGTGGGTGGGGATTTAAAAGATTCCCTCGGCACTGGGACGCGAACTCGTGACTATTTTTATATCATTTGATTGATATATCAGGTTGCCGGGCAACGGCGGTGCTGTACACGCGTTAGCCCATTCGGCCACCCCGCCCACAAAGTACCCGTGTTATGAGCACAAATGACAATTATCTGTTACAAAGCTTTTACTTCTTTTTTTTCAAGACCTGAGGTGTATCATAATTTCCTAAACTCCCGTTATATATATATATATATATTTTTTAAATTATTAAACAAAGGTTTTTCAAATATTTTTTAGATTAAGTGGTAATGAAAATGAACTTTTCAACTCTATATCCATTATTATTATTTATAAGCATAAATAATAAATAAATAAACGTATCTTATCCTATTATTAAGTTTTCATGCGTTGAATCAGTGCATTCTGAGTGATTAATTTTACTTTATATACTTTATCTGTAGTATGATGAGGTTTAATACAAATTGGGTAACTTCACTCGCGTCCGTACATTGTATACGTGCCCTCCGGTTATAACTAAATGAGCAATATTGTCGCCGCGAAGACAGTTCAACATCATAGAATCCACAAAAATATGAATCCATCAAAATTAAGGAAACCAAAAGGCCCAGTCAACACACAGCTTAATGCTATGTTCTGGAACGCTGGTGGCCTAACTGCTGACAAATTCATAGAATGGAAGACGATCATTACAAAGGACGATGCTGATTTATATGGGATCGTAGAAGCCGGCTCATCCACTGAAAATATCCAGTTCTACCAATTACCGGGATATCAAACTTATAAACTGCAGAGATCCAGGCAGGTTGCATCAGGAATAATTGTCGCTGCTAAATTATCCCCCAAGGTAACCTTTTCAATTAAAAAGAAGATGGAAGAGAATGATAAATTGGAGGCTGTGCAGTTAGATGTATGGAAAAGGATTAATGGCGGAGTTGTATTGGGCTTCCAGGAGCCGAATGGGCTGATAACCAACAGCAGAGGCGTTTAATAAAAATAAAAAAAACTTCATCTGTGAACCAGCTCCATAAACTATAATCCAGAGCTATGAGTTATAGAGATATTGGAGGACAACTAGTTTGACCAATACGACGGACAAGAATAACTGGTTAATTGGACATAGTACAAACGAGAGTAACACACGCACTCTAGGAGCAAGGCTTGTATCCACACTATGTACAAAGAGTGCAACCGAAATATTATGCTATAGATATAGAATTTTGCTGGTGTATAAATGACAATCTTCATGTTGAAGACGAATGTTTAGAAATCAATGGTGGTATTTTCAAGCAGTTTTTAAAATAAGATTTCGATAACTGAAATTCTAATACTTGTATTAAATAATCCAAACTAGAAAGCCATGAGACTCCAGCATGCTGGATGTTGTGGAGAAGCAGGCGATAACTTACCAACGTATCTCAGCTAATCAACTGTTTTATATAACCTTCCTCTTCTGTTTCCTGGGGTGTGTATTTGGATGGCTTGGTGAGATGTAAATAGCAAATGTTGTCTTCTCTTTTTCCTTCTTCATATAGGTGGCGTGATTTTTCTTTCCTGGTGATGCCTGAATTGGCAAACTGTTGGCAAGTTAACTGTATGTTGGACTGTTAACTGTAACCTGTATGTTGGAAAATCATGGTCTTATAAATTCGATTGTTCCATTTATAATGTCTTTTTTCGAGCTGTTTGATTACTTTAGTAACTTGTATTAATTATTGTTTATTTATTGTGCAATATTTGTTTTTATATAATTCTCTGAATTTTTACACTAGATCCATTCTTACATCTTATTAATTTAGTTTTTTCCCATTTTTAAATTCATCTAGTTTCAAGAAATTATTTTCTAACATTCATCTAATCTATCCCCACCCACTCCTCCCAATATTTATTACTCACATTTTCTTATAAACAGAGTAAGCTAAGGTATAATCAGAAAAATCGTTGATTATATACCATTACAAATGTTGAGGTCTGTTCCATGTTTTCCCCTTGTCCCTTAGTCCAAATTCATAACCCCATTGCAAGTTGGTCAACTCAAAAATTCAAAAAACCCTAAAAATTAGCCCCTCTCAGAAATGTTGATGGCGCAA